CTAGGATGAATGGCGAGTCTTCAAATTCATCCGGGGTTCTTGGTGACGTATCGGTCGAGTCCACTTCGACGACTCACGCCCACCCGTCTCGATTTCGTACCAAAACACAGACGGAATTCCAATCGATCACCACCGTCGAGCCGATGTATGAGTATCCGACCGAAAGCGTCCCATTAGAAATGTCATTTGAAGAACATGAGGTAAGTGACTGGATCGGTGATAGACATTGGTAGATATGTTAAGGGCAGTATGTCCGCTTGTTCGGAATTTCTTTCACATTAGTCATCGCGTTTGAAATCGAAAACTATTTCTTTGATACCATTTGTTGTTCCATTTTTCATGTACGAGAGCTAAACGAAACGTTTCCCGATGCAAAAAAGTTTTATTTGTTAGACCAAATTAAGGAATGCAACTCAAATTATTCTCCACCAGAGGCCTCGCACAGTTCGATGCGATCAAATCATTTGGTGAAACAGCTCGATCATGCCGAATCATAGGCAACCCCTCGACCACATTATTAAAGGCCTCCACTGTAGCTGTCAGTGACTTGTACCGGATTAGAAGCATCATGCATTTGACATTTGGGAGCACAGTGCTTCTGAAAGGCGCATCATTACCAAAGGCAGCTCGCAAAGAATCAATACTGCTGCTGCTGCTGCTTTAAACCACATTTGTAGTCGTAGAAAATCATCGTCCTCTACAGTCACATCGACTGAGTGCCATCCTTACAGTTCGAGCAAAGCAACCCTCAAGACTTGTGAGCTGTACTCGGTTGTTGATATTTAGCTCTGTTAGTTGTATACAATCATTGAAAAATATCCACAATAACAGATTACAGTTTCCATTTTCCTTCCCCGGTCATCTGCACCTCATGCTCATCGTGTAATGCGTATCCGAAAACGTTTTGCACGGCCTTCGTATCACACCTTTACCACACCTTTCCTGAATCACCTACATGTTTGAATTCAGAATTTTTGGAAATGTTTTGATTAGTATTTGATCGAAGCACGAGGATCGAACCATTTACATTTTTGTTGTGACGAAGTTCCTTATAGATCCCAAAGCACACAAGCTTAGATTTGGACACAATGAAAACGATCGCTTTTGTTTGGGTGATTGTCATGAACGTTTCGCAACCTGAGTCAATTTATTGGAGTAACGTAGTACATTCTGAGTATTTTAGTTCTGATCAAACAAAATTATAAATCATTGACCAGATTGCGCAGAGATCGATATAAATTTATAGGGGAACACAATGGTCTGTGGAAAATTCGCCGCTGTGAGTAAATGATACGACATGACCTCCGTCTCTGGGTGACTCATACTAATGACACATAACCTGGGATCGCTTCACCTCCGAAAAAAAGACAATTGCCAATGTACACTGAAATATTTCCTCCCGGGGTGATGTTTTCGGCAGCAATCACAATTGTATACATCTCACAGAGATATTTAGAGTGTTTGAGGTTTGTGAAGCCTCATCACGGAACATGCAACATCAGGGAGATGCAGGATAGTATATTGTTCGCCTTATTTCTGCAGTTTGAGTTTATTTCTATGCAATGATTTATAGAAATGCAGGTATTAGTCAGATAAAGTGAATGTAGAACGCAAGGAAGGGTTTATTATCAGTGGTATAGTGTCATAAGTTGAAAATCGTTCAATAGGAACTTGCCATGTGACCGAGTAACTAACTTACCTCGGTCTGTATATGCTACATCAGTCAGTTTTAAAAAGTGGCTTCATAAAATGAATTTGAACAGCGCTCTAAACAACTAATATATAGATTATCTTATTAGGATTTTCGAATGCTTGCTTGTTTTCAAAAATTTCTTTGATCAGTACATTAGATTTTGAATGTTGTACTGCTTGGATTTCATTCCTAGGTAAAATGTTTTCTCCCCGTCATCCTACACGACTTTATTATTACACTAGGGACAGTGAGTTTTGAAGTCTCAAACACAGTGCGCTCGATGAGGGTTGTACTAAATGAAAGGATGCAAAACAAACGATTTATACGGGTAAGAAAAAGAAAACGAAACAGAAAATTGGATTCGCACAAAATTAGTTCTGCGATTGGACGCTGCAGTCCACATCTGATTATTGGAGCCCAGTTTAGGTCGTTCCATACTCGAGTGACAATGGTGTTGTTTTTCCCAACTAACTGCACATACGCGTCCACACACACACACACACACACACCCTATCCAACAACACTAACCCAGTAACTATGCTGGATGCAACAAAAAGGAACCGCTGGCCGCTCTAACGGTGCTTTATGCAGCATTATGAATTAGTTCATC